GGGGATGCTAGGAGTTTAGACTGAAGCTCAAATAGAAATCTATACAAGTGCTTTAGCGGCATTCTGCGCGGCCTAGGGTCCAGTTGTGAAGGTTTTAGGAAAGAGTGGGATTTAGGGCTTAGGGTTAGAGTTCCGAGGGGTCCTTTGGACCCCCCTACTGTGTCACACTGAAGCCTTTAATTCTGGGCTCCCTAAACCTTGCTTGGCCGTCAGGTGGACTTAGTAAGTACACTCATAACCCTATAACCATATAGTGCCCCGAGTTCTCTCCATTGTTAATCTGCTTACTACATCCCATTAACCCTCCAAGTAACCCGAAACCATATATGAGCCCAGTTTCCATGTTGCTTTCCACTTGATTTGTCTAACATTGGGAATACATATCCGTTAGATCCTACAACAGTTCTCAGGTTGCAGATGGCCCGGAGATTGTCATCGACTCTGGAAACCATTCGCTGAACGTGGAGAATATCATCTCTTGCCGCTTTGGCGTGCCGCTTGCCCTTCAACGCGATGTGGGTTGGGGCGGAGGTTTGGGGCGTGTGATTAGCAGAAAAGTTCGGACATGCAGAATGATTATGCCCAAGGGGCCCATGAGCGCAGGACAGAAGCAATCAGTATGACCACGAAGGCACCAGGACTATGCAGCAGCAGCAGCAGCAGCAGCGGCAGCGGCAGCGGCAGCGGCAGCGGCAGCGGCAGCGGCAGCGGCAGCGGCAGCGGCAGCGGCAGCGGTGGCGGTGGCGGTGGCGGTGGCGGTGGCGGAGGCAGCGGCGGCAGCAGCAGCAGCAGCGGGTCAGAAGAATAACATAACACCCTTGGGAATCCTTGGGATTTTCAGAGAACAACTTGAATAGCAAAAAATCAAAATGGTTTCAAAAATCTCCCAAAACGTGTCAGCACTGTCTCTGTCTTGCGTATCTCGCACGTGACTCACAGCGCATCACTGATAAGCCCTCCATATTCTGAAGGGAGCTGCGATCACAGCAAGTGTGCTCTAGCATCCAGCATTGCATGTTCCAGTTACACAGTTCAGACCATTGCAATGCATGATGTTGAGCCTGAGAATGGGCAGTTGGCCAAATCATATACTTTGTTTGTCCTTCGCTAGATCCTAGAAGTACGCCCGCGTACGCGTCAGTAAGCTTGAGGAACCCCCAAATGGACCGAGTTTCCATCCTTAAGAGCAATTGTTCTAGTAGCAAGAGTCATGATGCTCATAAAACGATAGTAACTAGTAAGCTGGTGCCGAGGCTTTGCCACGGTGAGGGGGCTTCAGTGAATGGCACGCCGCCAATATGCAACGGCAGTCTGGTGTGCCTTTACAGCCCTCAGCGGTACAGATTCATGCGGTGGATACTAAATATCCTGCATGACCCTAAGCACCTTAACCCTTGGTAATTACGGTACTATGATATACTAGGGTCATGCAGGGTTTTTTGTATAAACAGCAGTGTTTGGCTGGTCCCCCACTTAGGGGAGCCACCTAACCATACTAATGGATGAAATCTTGCACCACCTAGGGGCCCTAAACTGCTGTAATTATTTTGGGATTTTTGGGACGTAAGGTGGTACAAGATTTCCTCCATCAACAGTATGATTCCAGTTTCCGTTTCATTTTCCATCTTCTTTTCCATTTGTTCATCCATTATTGGGGTAGGACTCCTAATTTTGGAAACAGCCCTTCTTCCCTGAAGCTCGTGCCTCAAGGAAGGCTGCAGTTCTTTTCAGATGAATCTTTCAGGGACCCAGGCTGTACCCTGGGTAGCTGCACCATTTTTGTGAAGCCCCTTTCGGGTTCTAAGGCAACACCCTGAACCATTCACGATTTGTTCTTCCAACAAGGTGTTCCCACGAGAGACGCGCAAATGCTTCTTTATCATTCTGAGTCTTAGGCAGTTACAGGAGGGGAGTTCCCATGTAGGGACCTTATACAAGCCTTATATACCCAACATGTAACATCCCATTGTCCCTATACACCGCTTATGTGCTCTTTCTATAACGCCTCTCTGGAAACTCCCCTCCTTTGTTGGTCCTAACTGAGGTCTCAACATGGGCCGATCTTGCGAAGCTAACATTATGCTATATGAATGCTATGTTCTACTATACTATAACATCTTATATTATGTCACAGTATATGATATCATATTTAATTTCTGGAAGTTTATAGCACATAATTTTGTTGCCAACCTATCCCGGCCAAACGGTCATCAGCGTGGGACATTTCTGAAACAATAAGGCTCTAGAAGCAAGACATTTCGCCTTTTCCTCCAATCAGCCTGGGTGAAA